ACAAGGGTTTATTTTGGAAACCACAAGTTTTAACTGAGCTGGGCTGTTCATACTGGGAAAGCCAATGAAAATGCAAGACACAATGCTTTAAAATCTGATCTGTAAAGCATTTAAAAGGCTTGATTTGTAGTGTTAACTTTGACCTCAGAGGTTTAACTCTCTTTGAGATAAGAGATCTGAGTTTGGTTGTCAACATGCAATTGTTTATGGGAGCACTAGGAATGGGATTTTACTGCCTGAGCATAGATGTTTTGTGCCCTTTGTGGTGCCCAAGGTTACCTAAGGCACCTGCACATTAAAAACGATATACTGGAAGAAACCTATAGAGTGACTTAGCTCAGTCTAAAGCAAAGATCAGGTGTCCATAGGTAAGTGTCTATAGGTTCAACATATGTCTTACCTCTTGCTGCAGTCAATGGAACTTTCACTCATCAATTCTGTTGTATGTACATAGTTGCCCTGCACATTTGAGGTGCCCAAGGGATGCCTGAGCAATTTGCATGGGCTTGGAAGGTATGGATACCGATATCCTCCCAATCTGGCAGATGGAAAACAGGTTGAATATCCAAGGGCATCTAATATAAGCAGAAACCTGCTGATTTTGGCAAAGTGTGGGAAGTGAGAAGGAAGATGCTGGTGTTAGACAGACGTGCTGAAATCCTGTCTCTATCCAGCTCTAGTCACTGTCTCTATATTGTATAAACAGTCGACAGAACATATTGACAGTTTCCAGTGTAAAAATTGTCTCAGTGTTACTGTTTCCCAACAGTTTAAAGTGTTGTCACCCTAAATGATGGATCTCAGAGAGAAAGAAGAAAAAAAGAGGAAGCTGTGAAGAAAGGGGGAGACAAAATGAATAAGGGAATGAGAATTTGTGGGCACAGTCTCTGACATATGTGGGAATGAAAAGTACTCCACATAGAATGAACTTTGGGTGGTGGAGAGGAGGGACAGGATTGTGAAGGTGGCTCTTTGAGCCTAGAGGTTCTGGGGAACAGGATGATATGTAGGTCACAGCAAGATAGATGATATTTAAGGATCTTGAGGAAAATACATACAGGACATGGTGGGGGCAGAGGCTGGAGGGGTGGAGTTTCCACTGGCTAGACTTCTAATAATAAGGAGCACCAGGGCCTGATCAGTGGCCCCAAAGCCAGCTGGTATCTCTTGGACACAACTTTGTTGTTAAACACTCTCTGACTCCTAAAAAAAAAAAAACAACCAAAATTCCTACTGAGATTACTTCTGGCCAGGGCTAGTGCCTGTGTCCAGGCAGCACTGGAGCAATGCTGACTGGTGACAACACCAAGAGGAACTATTTTAGTGACAGCCATGTGCCATGGCTGAGATCTCTGTCCTGGCATATTTGATTTCATAAATGACGTTTGTATTATCTGTTCCCAACCGTTTTTCCCAATGACCACTTTGGATGTAGCTCTGTTTGGATGCCAAGTGAGTCTTACCTACGGAGGTATGAGCCACTTTGTGCTGATTGCCCTGGAGGCTGCAGAACAATCCTCAGAACACATACAACCTTCCTACTCACTTCCTACCCAGCTTCAAATGCAGCTTAATTCCTGGCTGAAGCACTGACCAGTTTTTAGGTCTTTGCAGAGCCCAGAAGGGCCCTGAAGACAGTGAAAACCAGAAATGCAGGGTCTAAAAATGGGAACAATAAGCACTGATAGGACCTACTTGTAACCTTCAAAGACAAGATACCAAACTATCCCCTAGAATGTCAGAATTTCATATAGAGAAGCCAAAAAGTAAACTATCCCAGACACTCCTTTCATTGTTTTCCATAAAATTGACCTATTCAGAGTTTAGTGGGGAAATTTTATTTCAAAGACGACTCTAATGATTTAAAATGTATTCTTTTTTTTGATTAAGAACAAAACAAAGCCTGATTAAATGGGATGATCTCAGGTCTTTGGACTGAAAAAGATCTGTGGCTTTTAGGAGAGTCTGGTTTCCAGAATCTGAATCAATCTATCAGTAAGTTTACCCATAATGTTTGGTCTGTGACAGTTCTGGAGAAATGGCTAGGCAGGAAGCCAAGCAAGATTTCATCAAAACATTTCCAGATTTATGGAGCAACATTGTCTGAGCTAAACAGTCCCTCCAAATTACTTGATTGTGATCAAATGACAAATGAAGTCAGAATATCTGAGTATTTCTGAGCAGTTCTGCTCCTGATTAGTACATCCACTCATGTGTCCTTACCAGGTGCATCATTTCATTCCTTTCATTTCCTGGACAGAAACAGCAGTGCTGCATTCCCTCCACTTTGTTTTACTTCTCCCTGGGTTCCAAAATCCTTTTTCCTCTGATAATTTTCTGGATTTTTTTTAACCTCTTTATCTATCCTCAGATCTACTCTCACCTGAATTTTGCAGTTGTCTGTGAAGAACTCACTTCCTTTAAGAATGTTCAAGGCTATACAAATTTTTAGCATACAGAAACCATCTGTGTGGTTCCAGATAAAGAACAGGATTCTTGGTCCTCTGCTGGATCATTTATTTGTTATCCTTCAAAGCATGAATGAGGACATCAGGAAGTCTTCTACAAGCAAAGTTGTTACTCATATGATACCTCATCAATTTAAAAAAAGATTCAAAATATCTCAACAATTAATAGAGTAATTTATATTCTTTTTTCAGTTATGGACAATGGCACCAATTGCAGATAAAGGCAGCACTGACCAGATATGACATTAACACAGGAGGAGGCGACTGCGAAGCTTCAGACCAGGGAAGTACATAACCTGATGAAGACTGGAGGGAATGTGTGGGCATAAAGACCCAGAGAGCTCGGGAAAATATTTGGACACTTTCCTTGTGCAGTGAACCCAACTGGGTCAGATAAGGGATTTACAACCTCTCAGCTGATTGAACTTTATCTTGCTTTTTCCTGAAGAATACAGATTCCCTATAAAAGCAACAACCCTGAAGGTGACTGGTACAATTTTAGGGGCATATCACTTCTAAAAGCAAAGACAAATTTTCTCTTCTTGCCTCAAGTGATCAGGGTACATACAATAGGTCTATAGATTGTGTGTGGTCTGACTTTTTTTTAAGGTAGCTTTTTCAGATCTTTTCAGAAGAAAGGTTTAAGCATCTGAAAGTTTCTCCATTTTACTTCTGTTAATTGAATATAAAACACAGTCTTTCCCTACCATTCTCACCTCTCTTGTTAAAACTGATAAATAACGACTGGAATAATGGTTTAAGAAAAAAAAAAAAAAACCCAATTCATTTTGCCCTGGAGGCTAATGTGCGTCCATGTAATGTGCCATAGTTCCCTCTGGAGTTGTACTTTAGTTCTCAGTACCCTTGTTCTCCTCTTACATGATGAATTTTCTGTTAGATTGCAAACCCACCGTAAAACTAGTTTTTCCAGTCTCAGCCAGAGCTCTTCTTACTGGTTAGCATGTAAGAACTGTGGTTTTGAGAGACACAATCCAAACAAGGAGTGCTGCCAAAAGGCAAAAGGAGATGGCACCCTGACTACTGCTCCTAAAAACCGTGTAATGGGTAAAGGGATTACTAAACTTGAACTTAGCTCAATAAGTGGTCCTTGAACTTAGCTCAATAAGTTGAAGAGAAATATTTGAATTTCTGAAGATCCACATGTTTTGAACAAAAAACAGGAACAGTGATTCAGTATCTTATATTTTCCAGAACCTTCAAGCTGATGGAAATGTCAGTATTCTGAATCAGAATATCAAAGGGAGGGGAGGGGGAAGATTTGGACACAATCAAACTTCCAAATATCTTAACCGGTCTAGACTTATGAGGCTCTCTTTTCTCCCCTGAAATGTTCCCTTATGTAGATCAATAATAGTTGCCCTTTGGCATTTTTTTTCCACAAATGTTTGCTTTATTTCTGTAGAGAAACTGATGTGTTACAAGCATTTCATGTTTGTATGAAAGCTTATTGCTATAATAAAATTCCTGCAGTTGTACAAACTGTAGCCCAAACAGTAAATTCTCATTCCATTTTTTTACAATGAAGTTGACCTGTATCCTCAAAATGAGCCCATACACTCCCATTTTGCTACACTGGCTTCAGAGGGCATTCAGGCAGCCTTGGGAAGATGTTCTAATTTCACTAGTTGCCTTCTTATTTATAACACATTCTTATTCACTTCTTTTTTTATGCATAAGAACCTTGAAGAATAGCTAAGTAGATCAGATCACTAATTCCTGTGAGCTACGAAAATGAATTATTTTCTCCTGTATTTTTTAATTGAGCTCCTTGTTGGCCTACATAAAATCAAGCCTGAATTTTTTATAGTCGAGAAGGTCAGGGATAACTATAGCCAATAAACAAAGAAGCAAATAATAATGCAACAATAATAGTTACAAAGATTAATGTTAGTGCCTGAATGCTCAGTGCTCCTGGCAAAATTAATTTCCCTGAAAACATTAATTATTCCTTTTCCTTGGTCCAGTGCAAGTTGAGTAAATGCTATGCTGATCAACCTTGAAGGTTACAGAGGTTGATGCAGCTCTCTGATAAACTTCTGCCTGTCTGAAACTTTGAGAAGATCACATGCCTTGAAGTCTTCCTCAATAGAGGCTGTTGCTGTTGTGATTCCTGAGATCATAGAATTGTTAATGCCCTAAAAGACCTCTAAGATTGTTTTCACAACCCTTTTTATGCTGATAGTCTCCACTGCTCCCCATGGATTCATTCTTCCCCAAAAGGTGGATTTCTCCCATCTGAAGCTGGTTGAGTACCAGAGAGCTCCCTATACCTGAGATTTAGATTAGATGTTAGGGAGAAATTCTCTACTGTGAGGGTGGTGAGGCCCTGGCACAGGTTGCCCAGAGAAGCTGTGGCTGCTCCATTCCTGGAAGTGTTCAAGGCCAGGTTGGATGGAGCTTTGAGCAACCTGGATAGTGGAAGGTGTCCTTGTCCATGGCAGGGGGGTTGGAATGAGATGATCTTTAAGATCCCTTCCAACCCAAACCACTCTCCTTGAATCCTCTCCACAGGCACAAAGAAGTTTTGTTTTTGGAATGCTGCCCATCTGACTTGTCTACGGAGGAGCTGCATCACCAAGTGCATTGTCCAGATCTCTGACTGCAAAGAGGGGCTGCAGTGGCTGCCTCAGGCACAGATAAATCTGCATTGAGCCACATGAATTTTGACACCATGCAGGACTGGAAGAGTGGGCAGCAGAGTTCTCATAGGCTGCACAGAGCCAGGCCATGCTGTCAGCAGAGTAATTCTGCAAAGAGAGCAGAGGTCCAGTCTCTGATACATAGAACTGATCTGGCCAGTCCACATAGTGCTGCATTATATGTGAACTTAGTGGTTCAGAGACCACTTTGAACACCTCTGTGCTCTGCTGCAAGTTGCCTGGTGTCTATTTTGGCCCAATACAGATGCACTTGGAACACTGTCACTATGAGCAAGCACTCTCCTATTTTGACAGTGCTATTGGCTTCTGTGATTTTATGACAAACTTCCTGATATTTACTGGTTTCCTTTTGTTTCCCTGAAGGTCCCATTCTTTAATGTCCTGCTGCGTAAATGACTAAACTTTCATTTTGAGATGAAATGTAGTCTTCTCACATGGGGAAATATTTGAAAATTCAGTTTCACGGAGCATCAATCAAGTTAAAACAAACAAGCAAACAAACCAACCAACCACACAAAAACAACCCCACTGACATTATTTCAAATAATAAATAATAGTGATTCTTATTTCTTAGGGGGAGTTAGATCATGATACTGTTTCTCCCTCAGCAGCCTTGGTTTTTACTAGTGATATGCTGTTCTTTTGATCTTTTTTTTTTTCTCTAGCAGTTACAGGAAAAAACCCAAGAAATTACTTTTCCTTCAGTGACTGATCACAAATCCTGATGTAGCATTCCTTTCCAAGGTTAAATTCATCGATTCTTCTCTCTGATTTTCCTTGCACAGAGCCCAGGGCATAGAGTTTTCCAGAGAAGAGCCTGGCTGGGCTCACTTTCTGCACTCAGCGATTTTCCCTATTTATCCCTCCTGCCCTGCTATATTCTGATGGCCCCAAGAGATGTTTCTGGCGGTTGCAGGAGGTTTGGTGCTCTGCAGTGTCCGGGGACAGGATGAAAACAAAACCGACCATCTGCTTTCTGCAGCTTTGGTCACCTGAGCAATGATAAGCATACATCCCTCCTGGTTCATGGCAAAAGGAAAGCGTGGGAGGGTGGGAGATGCTATTTCTGCCAGTGTTAGGTACAGAATGTGTGATCACCTACCAGGACATATGGCGATTACTTCCTGCAGCTCATAATATCTCACACGGATCTTTTCTCATCTAGAACCACTGATCTTTTGAACCTTTCCATCAAGGGAAATGAAGGAGAAGACCACTTAGCAGCTGCTCTCTTCAATCTCTATTCAAATGCTGATTGTAACTAAGTTTGCCTTGTCAAAATGCTTTTGAACATGGAAGAAACTGCTGCCAATATTTTTCTGGCAGCATCTGAGCCTCACCCTACCTGTGCTGGGGATTTCAGACTTCTATAGTCTGAACAAAGACAACAGTAGTTGGCAAAAGAACTTCTAAGTTTCTTCTTGCTTTCTTTCTTTCTTGCCTGCTTTCTTTCTTGCTTTCTTTTCTTTCTTTCTTTCTTTCTTTCTTTCTTTCTTTCTTTCTTTCTTTCTTTCTTTCTTTCTTTCTTTCTCTCT